TCACATTTGTTTAAAATCCTTTGGTGGCTTTAAGGAAAAAGATCAAACTCTTTAAAATAGTCTTCATTACTTCTCATAACTTTCCACCTTATCTTTCTTATCTCCAGCTTTATCTCACTCAATATTTGCCCATGTCATCCAAGACAGGCAATTTGAATGACTTGTTCCTCAAATAATTTTCCACGAACTTTTATACCTTCTTGACCTTACACATACTAATCTCCTCTGCCTGGAAAGACATCCTATCCCCCCAGGTCTCCTGGCTAATTCCAATTCATTTAAACACTGTAGAAAAATACAGCAGAATGTACACTCTCTTGCCAGCCTCACAGTGTGCTGCACTTGGCTGCTACTCATTTGCTTCCTCTGCTAGTTTCTGAGCAGCTTGAAGGCTGGGACTGTGCCTTGTTTATTTTTCTAGTCATTGTGCTAACTTAAAAATTGCAATTTAGTAGACTTTAAATTGTTATTGGATTAATCAGTGAACAAATAAAGACCAAATTCTAGATATAAGCATGTTTTATACGAATGTGAAGATGAGCCATATCTGGTGAGATTAGGAAGAATAAGGAACATCTGTTCCAGCTGGGTGTGGCAGTGCATGCCTGTAATCCTAGCACTCTGGGAGGCTGAGGCAGGCTGAGAGATTTGGTGAGATTAAAAGGCACAGAGCTGGGGATCTGATGATGGTGCTCACTATGAAAGATTCAATCCCCAGTACCACAGGAAGAAAGGAGAGAGGGGTGGGAGACAGAGACAGAGACAGACAGAGAGGACAAAAACCTCCTCTAATGACTTCTTTGAATTTAAAAACAAGAAAAGCCTTAAAGAGCCTAAAACACTGCTTTAGAGAATGCAGTGATAATTGAATAAGACAATGCTTCAAAGATCCTACAGGGTAGAAAAGATCCTATTTAGGGTAGAAAATCAATAAAGAGTATAGAGTCAAATGGTAGTAAGTATTATGGGAAAAACCAAGGCCAGACCAGGGTTGATGGGGATGACAGGCTATTGGGAAGCAATGAAAGTTTCTCTGGAGAGATAGCTTATGAAGCAGCAAGCTGGTTGCTGATCAGAAGGAAGAACAATGGGAGCTGAGGGAGAAACCCAGAATAAGGGTCTTGATGTACTGGGAATTCTTGCTGCTAAACCTAGAATTCTACCTCGAGAAAGATGTATTCATTGGGGTCCCAAAGGTCTTTGTTGGGTTGGTTTTGTTTTGTTTTGTTTTTTTACCATTTTTCTATTAAAGTTCAAACATTATTAGATACAATGACATTTCAAGTAATAGGGGATGAAATAAGAGCAGGAGAATTTCAGAGCAGGTCCCAGAAAGGGAAGAGCAGTGGGCACCCAGCCTCCCTGTGTCACTGCTGTGCCTGCACTGGCCCTGGACAAGGTGCTGACAGTGGCCTAGAGTGATAGCCCATGCAAGGACCAGATGGGGAAGAAAGGCTATCACTGTTTCTCCTTACCCCAGTTGAAGACAATCTCTCTTCTACTTACTTCACCCCTTGAGACAAGATCTTCTAAGCAGCACCAAACAGAGGAAAATGCAGGATTGGCAAACTCTTAAAGTGCTATCTATCTCTGCAAAGAAAATAGAAGAATCAATTCTGTTTGATTTAGAGCAAATGACCCTGCAGTGACAAGATGGAAAAAATGTGGTCCTTAAGAGTCCAAGTGGCTGCTGAGTTTACGGCAGTGCCTTTGCCGCTGATACCTCTAACAATTGCAGTAACTAACAGGATGATCAATAGTACAGACCCAAGAGGCCAAGTTCACTGATCCTGTGAAAGGAAGAATATGTGCTGCTCTTTGGACATTGGGAAAAATCATCAGAGCAGAAAGAACCAGATGAAGATGATGACAGCTCTACCCAACAATAGGGACTCTGGGACATAAAGGAAAATGCATCACAGAAGGAAGATGCACTGGTCAAGCTCAGCTTCCTTTTCCATCTGTCAGCAGAGACCAGGTTTCCACTTGAGTCCAGCCACATCAGAAGCATCCATCAGGGACCACAGGATCTTCTAAATTATTTTATTTAATCTTTACAAGTATCTACCCAGTTTATCATTCATATTTTGTAGCTAACAAGGCTGAGACTCAAAGCTGGGTTAACAGGCAATACAGAAGCTACATCCTCTGATTTTAAGTTTCAAGTAGCCGTCACCTGGATGTGACTCTACAGGCTGGAGAACTCTCCACTGTCCTCCTCAGTTTGCCTCTCTGCCAACCTTCTCCTCTCTTCCTTCTCCTCTGTTTCATAAATATCCCAGCAGGGTGTCTCAAGACTGTGGACAGTAGAATCAAGCTGCCTGGGTTTAAATCCTAGCTGTAAAAATATTATGCAACATTAGGCAAATAATTTAACCTTGCTGAGCTTCTGCTTCCTCCTCTGTGAAACTAGAATAAAAATAGTACAACATGGTGTTTAAACCAGCATCTTCCCTGTAGTAAAACCTCATTAAAGTTTGCTATTCTAATTATACTCCTTCCTCCATCGCACTTAATAGCCCTTATGGCCTGGCTTCTCTGTTTGATCATCCGTCACTCCTTTGCTGGCCTTGCTCTCAGCAATAACTTGTTCTCTTCTTTCTCACATTCATTCCTCCTGGATTGTCTGTCAACTGCAGCTGCTTCTGCAGCATCAGCTACCAGTGTCCAGGACAGGCCCAGCACTCCTGCCCTGCCCCTGCCATCCTGGAGGTCAGTGGCAGCACTTCAGGGGATAGATAGGGATAGATAGGTCAAAAACACATTATGCAAAAGCATTTCAGAATAGAGAACAGGAGGGCTCTCCTGAGGGACTGGAGAAGTCAAAGAAGACATTGATTTATAACAGAAACTGCTTTCTCTGAGGCCAAGGACCCCAAAATGCCTCAAGAATTGTAATGAGATTTCTCCTAAGATTCCACCCTTATGTGATTACTTGGATGCAGATGAGATCTGTATCACCCAGTGTTTCAGGCTAATTAAACACATATTCACCTGTTTTACCCATACTCACTCTGCCCCTTGCTACTCAAGCAGGCTAGAAAAATTTAGTTTTCCTTTGAATTAGATCCCACCTCCTCAAAATAAATCTTCATAAACACACACACATACACACACACACTACTGGCTCCAGGTTCAGATTCCTAGCATTCTCTGTAGAACTACATCTTTGATGACTCAGATCATGGAAGACGAAGTCAGCTATGCCCAAAGTGACTTTGAAATTGCTTTTATTTAAATAACTCTTTTAGAAAGCAACAATGCTTTTTTGAAAAGTAAAACATCTTATAAGTAAAACTATATCACCCACCTCACTCTCAATATGTATAATATGGGGACTTCTAAAGTGCAAATACTTGAAATCCACTCAGCATTCTCTGCATTTTATTGAATGAATTACTTCAAAAATTCAACATGTAGACAAAATGGGCCATGTGAGAAGCTGAGGAGAGACAGGATGGGTGAGAACTGAGCCAGTATTCCTGCTGCAACATGTAGAATTCTGTCACTGGCCAGTAGTATTGCTCATCCACATGCCTTGATGGTACACAATGGTAAATATCATATTTCTAAAACTCTGAAAATATTTCTGCTATGATGGCAGCAGAAATAAATCTTGAGAGTAGGGCCATTTGTCTTTAGTACCCAGGCCCTGTGAAATCCAGAACATTGACTTCCAATCCCATGAAAGCTCAATAAAACACTAGCTAATGCTGTGGTGACCCCTAGTTACATAAAGATTCTTGATGACAACAGTGTACCTGGCAGTCTCAAACTCAAAAGTTATATGATCCAGAAAATGCTAAACATAAGTGAAAGTGGGCAGGTAGGAACTGGGACAAGCTGGAGTACTCACAGACCTACGAAGGGTGTGGTCACTGCTGTGTATAAGGCAATGCTTGCTAGGTAGAGATACAAAACAAAAGCTGTTTTTATACTAAAAGAAATGAAGGAATTGTCAACAATTAACTCATTTTTTAAAAAATCTCCAAGCAGTTCAAACAAAACATATTTGCTGGCTTCTAACCTGCCACCTCTTACCATACAAGGTCCATGTTTGATTCAGGATGAAGTCAATGAACGTCTCTGGGTCTCCATAAAATGGGGATAATTATAATACTTTCTTCATAGGACTGTTTGGGAGAGTAAATGTATTAATTACTACATGATAAGCATATGAATTATCTGTTGCATACTGAGCACTGTTATGGTTATTCAAAACCACATGTTTACACATTTGCCTGGAGCCTTCTGAATGCGACATGATTGTAATGAAATACGTCGAATGAAGCCATGATTCCTATGTTTGATTGTATAATCTTAATAAAAAGAACCTTACCAAGCCTTCAAGTTAGGTTGGAAAACAGCCATCCTCTCACATTTGAAATTTGTGACTTTAGAAACTGAGGTTGAAAGCAGCCAATTTGTCATTCAGACTTGTAAAACATTGGCAGATTCAGGAGGAACCTCGTGGTCTCTGATCTGGATGTTCTATTAATTGCTGTGGCCTCTGTCCTTGACTTTTATGGTCATTGCATTTTCTCAGGGTTTTATATACTGCCACTGTATGAGAGTACAAGGTTTATAAAGGCAGGGAGCAACTCCTGCCTGTATGAAGGCTTTAGATGCAGGTAGCTTATCCATTCTGTATTCAGTTTGTTATCTTCCAAGCTAATTTATAGAGCTTCACTAGGCATCTCACTCTGCATCACTTAAGGACACATTTTCAAATTAGTTCTGGCAAAAGTAAACAGCCTTGAAAAATAGGACTCCACACTCCAGAGTCCTCTCTGAAGCATGGTATTCAAATACAATTGTCCCTTGTTTGTCAAAGTGTGGCCCTGAGATAGCAGCGTGAATATCAACATTAACTGCGAGTTTGTTACAAATACAGAGTGAGTCTCACACCAGAAATACTGAATTGCACTCTGCCACCAGAGGATTTGTTTGCACTAAAGTTTGAGAAATACCATTAGCCAACTTATCCCTGAAATTTCTTGGTGTTTGATTGCGACTGAGAAAAAGATTTAGAAGAAGAGATCACTTTAGATATCATAAAGAAAGATTTTACTATTCAATAGTCCACCCAAGGAGTTAAAAAATTAGTATGTTCTGAAAGATTGCAAAAAGGCCAATAGAAGTTTGCCCTGGACTGGGGCCCAGTTTTCTAAGAGTGGCATTAAGCTGAGATTGTGGCCATTGCATTGGTTTCACTCAGCCTTGCTGTTGGTACCTGCTGCTCACCCTCAAGGACAGCCAGGGAGAAGACCGCTGTGGTGTAGCAATAAAACCAGAGCAAGGTGCTAAGGCCAATTGGCCAGAAAAATATCTTTGACAGCCTTACTCATTCCCAAGGGATGACAGAGGCAGAAAATGTAAGGAATGCTTTTGCAAAATAATGAGAAAGGAAAAGAATAAAGAGAGAGAAGATGAAAAAGAGGGAGGGGGGAAGAAAAAAAGGGAGGAAATTTAAAAAATCATTGTCGAGATGTTTACTTCCCATTTCCATCCTTTTCTGTTTTCTAGGTATTGAAAAGCTAGTGTTTCTGTGAGCTAATCACAAAGCTGGAGAAAAGCATCTTGTGAATGAACAGCTTGAAGGTAAGTGAGGCAAGACATGGTGTTTTTGATCTGGAGACCCCCTTCACATGTGGGAAAATCCTGCTAGACTTGCAGCTCTACCTTCTTTAGACCCAAGCAAGAAATCTCTATGTTTTTAGTGAGACTGTCCACTTCCAGCCTCCTGTCCAGGCAAGGAAAGAATGGGTGGGGGCCAGTGTGGTCTCCCGCTCCCTGATCCTCTGTCACTGTCAATGTTGTCACGTGTGTAATGCTGCACACAGGGCACTCCCTGTAGGCAGGAGAGCATGTAACCTGCTGGGGACTGGGCACAGCTGAGAGGGATTGCTCTAAGCAAAACACTAAAGTCTACCTTTCAGAAATAAAGGGTTTATAAAACCACTTCATCTACATTTTTTAAATTGTCTTAAATCATGCTCTAAATTTTCTGCTTTGTGGGTAATGCAGATATTTCTGAAAAATAACGCATACAAACACAGACTGCTTATTTGAAGAAATCTCCTAGAGAAGAATTTATAAAAATGTAGTTTATTAGGACCTCATGAAGCCACAGTGTGCCTGACTTACCGGACATTAGTTTCATTCTTCAAGGTCCTCAGGTGGCACAGCACTTAACTCCCACATGCTTTCAGTGCCTTCTCTGTGTCCAGTACCATGCTCATTAACCAAAGCAAGTTCCTCATAACCCTAGGACAAAGGAATTATTGAATCATGCTAAATCACTAAGTGCACAGAACAGAAGAATCTGTGTAATACTGAATCAGTACAGAACACACAAACAATATTAAAAACTAAAATCATGTTCTCACGGAGAGTAATTTTTCTTTTAATAATTGAACCTTCAGGAACATTTCCACTGAAAGCATTGTCTCTGTACCATAAGTCATTTAAATTGAAGAAAAGCTTTTCGTCAGCTCAACAGGGCCTCAGAATGCATTATTCCTTTGTAAGAAAATCAAGGCTTTGCCTGGGAAGTACAGGGCAGAATGTCAGGGTTCCTGGAGAACCTCACTGAGCAGGATCCATTGTTTCATTCATCATTTTTTAAAGTAACTCTTTCAGATGATTTTTCACCTGATCAGAAAGAGGTAGCCTCATTCACAGAACCCTGACAGGAGGCATCAGGAGTGGGGATGATCCCTCAATTTGATTCCCTCCCTCAACTCCCTTAGTTTCTCTTTCACATAGAGCTCAATTTAAAATAATTTCATTTGTGTCAGTTTGTTCATTATTGACTGCTACTTTCCCTTCCTCCCCACTCTCCAGAGAAAGCTCCTGGAAGTCAGATATCATGCCCCCTTTTCCCAGTTTCATTTCTAATGCTTAACACAGTGCCTCACCTATAATAGGAGGTCAGTAAATAGTTTTGATTTTTAAAGAAATGAATGTTCTGCCAAGGCAAATTGCCTCTGAGGAGAAGGTGAGATTGTACACAACTGCACTCAGCCTTTGTCTGGCTCCTTCTTCTTTCCAGACCCCAAGCTAAGTGCAGCAGGGTCACCGATGAATGAGACAGACTCCATCTCCACTCTGTAGCACACACTAGCTTGAAATTCAGTGAATATTGCTGCAGTTAAGGCTGAAATGCTAGAAAATTTCAGGCAGGAATTACTCTCCCAAAGGGTAGCACTATGAAATGTATTTCCTGTACATTTCCAGAGACTAGCGCATCTTTATGGTTTGGGAAAACTCAGAAATGAACACCTTTTGGGTACACTATTCTGAACTGTAACAATTTTCCTATTTAAGTAGAACCTCTGTCAACCACTCTATAAATGATGGAAGCATCAAGGTCAGAGAGGCAAAGTAAGTCCTGGAGCAACACCCTGGAACAGGGAGCCCAGAGTCCTGTTCACTTTGCACCTCTAGCAACCAGCTCAGCATCAGCCATATTGGGAATTCTGCTCAAGATGCCTGTTAATGAACACATTAGGAAATGTTTTCCTATTTCTTGAATATATAACTAATCTTTTAAAGCCTAGAAATGAAAATATTAGGGGGTAAATGGTACTTTAATAAATTCACCAATAGGTTTGTGGGATGAGTGGAAAGAAAAAGAAACTTACTCAAAAAGTTTGACAAGCATATACAAACCAAATTTAAGGACTTTTTATAAAGTTCTGTAAGAATTAATGACATATAAAGATTATACAGGCTGCTTGTCTGCAGCTGCCTCCTGCCTGCTCTGTGATGCCCCTCTGACATCCTGCCCTGCCTTGAGCCAGTCAACTATGAACTGGAACCTCTAATGTGAACTGGCAACTCTGAAACTTCTATTTTCTTTGTTCTGAGGAAAGCTGGCCATGTTGTAAGGACACGTAAGCTGCCTACTGAGAGATCTGCATGAGGAACTGAGGCCCTTTGTCAACAGCCATGTGAAGGGACATTACTTAAGCCTTCAGATAAGACTATAGCCCCAGCCAACATCTTGACTGCAACCCTATGAACTGGTGATCAACAGCAACTGCGAATTAATGAATGACTATTCTCTTAAGCCATGAAATGATAACATACAATGACACAAGGGCCAGGCATAAAATCAGACAAGGTATTAAATAAAAATATTATGTTCAGCCAGTCCCAGCCTGGAAGGAAGCTCCCCACCTCCATCACAGGCTCCTAGGGCAGAGAAGCTCAGCTGGTCCCAGAAACTGGAAGGAAGCTCCCCCACTGCCATCCCAAGCTCCTAGGGCAGAGAAGATGAGCCGTGTGGGAGCCAGAAGAACCCCCCCCCCGCACCGTGGAAATGAGAAGACACATAAACAAGTCTCAAAAACAGACTTCCAGGTCACCTAGAGCAATCCCAAAGGGAAACGAGGTGGAACACTCTGATACTCAACCACCTGGATTCTCTGAACTGGCAA